GCGTAAGACCTCAAAAGCGTAGGCAACCAAAGAAAAAATAAACAAATGAAATTACAATGGAATTTTCATTACATTACAATGGAATTATCAAGCTACAAAGATTCTATGCAGCAAAGGAAACAACAAGAGACAATCCACAGAATGTGAGAAGATATTTGAGAATTATCCATCTGATGAGGGGTTAATAACCAAACTATATAAGGAGTTCAACTCAAAAGAAAAAAACATCTGATTTTAAAACGGGCAAAAGATCTGAAGAGGCATTTCTTAAAAAAAAAAAAAAAAAAGACATAGAGGTATATGATAAAATGCTTAATATTACTAATAATCAGAGAATACAAATCAACAATATAATCTCACCCCAGTTAAAATTGCTTTTATAAGAAAGACAGGGAATAATAAATGCTGGCAAGGATGTAGAGAAAGGGAACCCTTGTGCATTGTTGGTGGGAACATAAATTAGTACAACCACTATGGAGTATTGTATAGAAGTTCCTCAGAAAACTAAAAATAGAATTACCATTTGATCCAGCCATTCCACTACTGGTTATATATCTGTATTAATCCGTTTTCATGCTGCTGATAAACACATATCCATGACTGTGAACAAAAAGAGGTTTAATTGGTCTCATAGTTTCACATGGCTGGGGAGACCTCAGAATCATGGCGGGAGGCAAAAGGCACTTACATGGCTGTAGCAAGAGAAAATGAGGATGTAAAAGCGGAAACCCCTGATACAACCATCAGATCTTGTGAGATTTATTCACTACCATGGGAATAGTATGAGGGAGACTGCCCCCATAATTCAAATTATCTCCCACAGGGCCCTCCCACAATACATGGGAATTAGAGGAGTACAAGTTGAGATTTGGGTGGGGACACAGAGCCAAACCATATCAATATCCAAAATATAAGAATCAACATGTTGAAGGGATATCTACACTCCCATGTTTATTGCAGCACTATTCACATAGCCAAAATATGAAATCAACCTAAGGGTCCATCAATGGGTGACTGGATAAAGAAAATGTGGTATATATATGCAATGGAGTATTATTCCACCATAAAAAGTTGAAATCTTGCTATTTGCAGCAAGAGAGATGGAACTGGAGGTGATGTTAAGTGAAATAAATCAAACACAGAAAGACAAATATCACACGTTCTCATTCCTATGTGGGAGCTAACAAAGTGGATCTCATGAAGATAGAGAGTAGATTGGTGGTTACCAGGGGCCAAGAAGGGTAGGGAGAAATGAAGAGAGGTTGATTAATAGGTACAAATATACAGTTTGATAGAAGAAATAAGACCTAGTATTTGATAGGTCAGTAGAATCCCTATAATTTACAATAATCTACTGTGTATTTCAAAATCACTAGAATTGTTTCTACCATAAAGACAAATATTTAATGTGATAGATATCCCGATTACACAGATTTGTTCCTTATAATTACATGAATGTATTAAATTATCACATGGACCTTCAAAATATATACATCATTATGTGTCAATCAAAAATTAAAATAATGAAAAAAATCCCTAAAACCAAAATTGTCTGCAGCTCAAAATTCTAGAAGTATGTTAAAATACAGAACATGTGTAGGTCTTCCTAAGCTGTCTCAGAACCAATGATTTCATTTATGTCAGAGGGTGTGCATGCAGGTCTAGCATGCAATACCAAGCTGTTAGGCGTGACAGTGAATTCTGTTACTGGAGCTCAAACTTAGAGCACCCAGAGGCACCTAGTGAAGGTCCGTTTTCAGAAGTGTGTGGGGGGTTGGGGGGTAACGGGGTGCAGCTCTGAAGTGAAAATGAAACTTCCAACAAAAGAATGCAGAGTGTTAAAAGTTCTTGAGAATGACCTACAGCCAACTCTTGTTGGCTGGTCGACTTCATAAAAGGTCTACAAAAATATGCCTTTTTAGGATCCCTACTTACCACCTGAGTAAGTAAAAGTTGAGGGCCATGAGCAAAGCAACCTAAGGATGCAAGAAGGGTCTTGAGGGGAGGAGGGGTGGAGCCAGGAGCGGGTCTGAGAGTTGCAACAAGATGACCAAGTGCAAGCTTTGAGCACCACACATCCCAGCAGCCTTGAGAAGCAGGTGAGCAAGTCTCACACCAGCAAGGCGTTGCTCACAGCATTAAGAATGTTGCCTGAGGAGGTTCGGGTTTCTTCAATTAGACCCTGAGGGATGTGGGGGTGGGGCTGTGTGGTGTAAACCCAGCTCCACCTGAGCCCCAAGGGAGCTGTGGACCATCTTCCAGAGTCTCAATTTTCGAAACTGTCATTTGATGGGTGATAATCTTAAAACATTTTCTCTTAAAGAAGCCATAGCTTATAGAATAGAAAGTAAAATTCATACAAAAATATTTGTCAAGACACAAAACCAGAGAAATACAACTTTTGCTCTGCTGGCCACTCTGAGCAGGATCCCAGATCCCTGGAGATTGAAGGGACTCTGCTTTGAATGCTGTGACCTGACTCCTGGCCCTGCATATGCCGAGGAGGACGGAGATGGGAAGACGCTGGAATGGGCTAGGGGTCCAGGTTGCACTGGGGCTGCACAAGCAGTTGCAGGAGGGGAGAGTGGAGGGAGGTGGCATTAGTGACAATAGCAGCCACAGAATGGAGAACAGTGATGAAGGCAGCCGAGTCTGGGGCAGGCTGGGAACAGAATAGCAGCAGATCTTCTGATATCAGAGGCTAATGCTGTTAAGAGACAGAAGCTAGGGCCAGCCCTTCCTTGAGGAGGAAGCCACCAACACCTAGCATCTCTCCAGAAGGGTTCACAGTTGTCTGGGCTCAAGCAGCTTGCAGGACAAGGGACCTTAATTCTCTGTCCCTCACTACTGGGATCCACAGTGAGATCTCCACCTAGCAGCAGCATCCAAGAAGGACATTTTGGGTAGGCTCATAGACATAAGCACTGAAATTAACCAGACTACAAGAGCTCCTCAAAAGTTTTTATTCTTTTTAAACTGGCACATTGCCTGGTATACATTGCCAGGTAGGCATTCAAAAAACGTTCTTTTTTTAAAGTATGCAATTTATAATACTGGGAGGATTTTATTTCAGTTTCCCAAAACACGATTATTCCTAGAAAGGGTGTACTCTCCCATGACTCTGGATAACAAAGGTTTTGTTCTGCTTTTTAAAGCCACCTCAGACAGACACTGGAACACGTTACATCTAACACTTAAGTGCTTTGAAAGGGCAGAAAAAAAAAAACCCAAGAAATTCAAGAGTTGTCATAATTGCTGGGAAGACTGTGGTTTCTACAGCCCAGGGCGGCTTCACAGTTGTCAGAGGACACAGATTCCATGTCCCTTCCCCACAAGGGACTTACAGGACAGCTTCCATGGTTGGTTCTTGAGTCTTTCTGCAGAGGGCAGACCAACAGAGAGGGCTGTGACCTCCTCCGACCAGCCCAGGCCTCACACTGCTGCGTCACGGACCCCGTATCAGCAGCATAGCTGCGGAACATATCATCCTGAAAGTGGATCCTCCGTGGATCACCCCAAGCAGCGCAGCCACAGCAGGGAACCAGAATGAGGCTCAAGGCCATTATCAAAAAAGTGACCTACCCTCTCCTTCCAATTAGTTACCTGCATTCACTGTGCAGTATAAACGAACAGAATTTCTACAAATTAAATTACTTTCTTAAAAATCAGCACATCGTTACAAACAATTCTCTTTGAGAAGTCTTTCCAATGCAGTTCTTAAAATTTAACATACAAAATGCTGTGCAAAAACAAACACTGACCTGAAATAAATAGAAAAAAAAAGTGGAAACAGCTAAAATCTTTTTGTGTTTTTAAATTAAAAGTTAAAAACACCAGCTGCACTTCAAAGTATTTGCAGGATGAAATACATCAAGAAGGCTATTAAAAACAGCCCTCAGAGTTCAGAGTTATATTTTCAACTGAGGTTTTGTGTGTTCAGAATTCACAATGGATGCCTCCGCTGAGATCTTTCACCACTCCCTCTTTGACCAGCTTTAACAGGAACTTGGTTTCCGTTGTCACATTATGCATGGTCTGAAAGTTCATGGCAGCCATGCACTGATTGTCAAAGTAGTGCAAAGGTGTTCTGGGTTGATTGAGGTCATATCCAAAACCTGCCAAACTGACTTCATCACACAGATGTGTGGCTAAGACGACAGCAATGACACCGATTGTGGGGACGTTCTGAGAAAGGGAAAAGACCAAAAAGCAAAAAAAAAAAAGTTTTAGCACAATTCACCATTTTGTCAATATTACAGATGCTATCAGAGTCATGAAAGCTATACCGGGGCTGCAATGTCTACATCACATAATTTTATACATCAGCAACTTTAGAGTCCAAGTCCCCATTTAAGTCAGGAATCTAGACTCTAAAACATGGTCTGTGATATTCACACACTTTCGAGGCAGTCTAACAATTCTTACAAAAAGTTAAAAGGTATACTTTCTAAAATGTCTACCCCACTGGTCCTATATGTGATGCCCAGAATCATTAAAAAAAAAAAAAAAAAGCCTACTTCCCACTTCCCAGTGACAAATGTCTATGAGGTCTGCTCTGGGATAGGTGGCCACAGGACCTTCTACAGTCCTTCCCAGGGCATGGTTTGTGGAGCCCTTCCCTTCCTGAGAACAGGGGATTCTCCGTTCTCACTGCAGAAGACTGCGTTCACACCACCTGCAGCTACAGCCTACCTTAAGGGCCCCATTAGCTTTGCTGGCAAATAGCACTTCCGGGCCATTTCCCCATGTTGAGCTGCTAAACCAGTTTCTTCCCACCCTCGGTTTGGGCAAGTAAACTTTTTTGTTTTTGAGACAGGGTCCGTCTCGCTCTGTCACCCAGGTTGGGGTGCAGTGGTGCAATCACGGCTCACTGCAGCCTCGACCTTCCCAGGCTCAAGTTATCCTCCCACCTCAGCCTCCTGAGTAGATGGGACTACAGGCATGCACCACCATGGCCTGGCTAATTTTTGTATTTTTTGTAGAGATAAGATTTTACCATGTTGCTCAGGCTGGTGTCAAACTCCTGGGCTCAAGTGATTCTCCCTTCTTGGCCTCTCAAAGTGCTGAGATTACAGGTATGAGCCACCATGCCCAGCTGCAAGTAAATTTTTGTCCCGAATAAAAGACTTTCATATTTGTTCCTTTAAAAATGTATACTACTGACTTTGGCCTAGAATGCCCTATGTCTAAACCTTTCTAGATTCTGATGTGTCCCCACTCCCTCCTCATGTCTGGCATCTTGTCATACCTCCTGGAACGTGCAAATCTGGCACTGTGCTTTCTGGATGTCCATGCCAGTCTTGGGCAAAGACAGTACACAGGACAGGGAGGAATACAGGAGGTCCTGCAGCTCACTAGGCCTCCTCGACAGCTGACACCAATCTACTAATACTCCATATTAGCATCCTTTCGCTTTTCATGTGCAAACGTGGCTCCCTTTTCATTCATCTTAGTTGAGCTTGTAGCTGCCATAAATATAACTCTCCTTTTTTGTAAATGGGAACCACAGTGGACCCTCGGAATTCACCAATTCAGGTGGGATTAGGAACATCTCCCGAAGCCATCATTTGTTAAAACCTGCCTCCTGCTCCTTGGTACCTCTCAAAGCCAACCTCATTTGTTAAAAAGAAACTCAACAGCCATTCTGCAAGCTTGGAAATAGAAACCAAGGGAAATTAACACAAAGGATATTTTACTCTTGTTTAGCCACGGCTCTAGGCATTGTTCTGTCTTCTCCAACCCTGTACCCCCAGTGACCAGCCTGGCACACAGGGAATACTCAATGTTTGTGGAAGGAGTGTGTATATTCAACTGTCCATTGGAGTGATATATGGAGAGAACGAAAAAACGATGAAAAACTCCCCGAAGCATGTTATCTCTATAGCATGCCCTCTGAGACCACACCTCCTATTGCTCAACAGGCTTCTTCATCTGCTGGAAGGACATATACATGAGTTCTGACACTGCAATTTTAGATCAGAAGTCCTCTTTTATGTTTTTATCCAAAAGAAAAACGCCATGTTATCAATTATAAAAATAGGCAAACATTGAATTCAACTAATAGACACATTATAAAACAGAAAGCAGAAGCCTTCTACAGACTTCCCCTCTGAAGAAGGGCATTCTTCACAGGTTGGTGTCTTTTTCCAGGCTTTTATACTAAACACATACATTTATTTTTCAAGTGTTTCATATCTTGATTTTCTCCTTAATATACAGTGGAGGTGTTTTCCTATCACAATATTGAATTGACTTTATAATAATTTGTTTAAACAATCCCATAATGACGAACACTTGGCTGTCTTTAGTCCTCTGCTGTCAACGCTATAGTATACATCCTAGAATATCCATCTTTGCAAATTTCTCTAATTTCCTTGTAATAACATTTTTAATGTAAAACTGGTGGGTCAGAGGTTATTCATATTTAAAATGGTTTAATATTGCCAAAATAGCCTCCAGGAAAAGTACCAACTGACCATTCTATCCACATTCCTGCCAAACAAGGATATTATCAAACTTTTAAGTCTTTGCTAAGAAAGTGGGCAAAAATGCTACTGTGGCTCTAATTTGCTTTTATTTGATTATTGGTAAAGCTGAACATTTTTCCATGTATTCTTTGGCTATTTTCATTCTTTTGTGAAATATCTATTCCTATTCTTTGCCCATTTTCCACTGGTTCATATTTTTATTTTTGATTTAATAAGAGCTCTTTGTATTCTGACAGTGTTTACTCTCGTTGTATATGTGATAATTTCCACACAGGTCTTAAGTTTTAAAGACACAGGTCAAGTTATTTAGATCAAGAAGCCGCAAGTAACAAAGGCATGCGCACCCCCGCTCCCCCTGGTGGCAGCACTTGCTAATTGCAGGTAAAGAATCTCTACTGCAATAAATAGCTTAGAGCACAAAGTTCCCAAATTAGGCTGCAAAATAAAAATCATCCAGGGAATTTAGAAAATCTTAAAATACAAACCAATTAAATCAGAATGCCTAAGATGAGACCCAGGCATTAACTGAAAAACACTGTTCTTGAGAATTGACTTTTATAACTATCACCTACAAATGTAAATATGACTTTTCTCTGAGGCACAGATTTTTTTAATTGAAAAAAATTAAAAAATAAAATGTAAATGACTTTTCAGATCACGAAAGTGCCTTTCAGTGTCCTGCAGTTATATGGAGTCCTGGAGTAAGAATACCTTACATAGCATCTCAGTGATGTAAGTGTTAATGGGGTGCCTACACTAAACGGAAGAGTCACTGGAGAGAAGGCCAATTAAACAATGAGGAGCCCTGCGGCCAAGTGCACAGTGGTAAGCACACATGGAGCATCTAATCAAAGGCTGGGTTTCTCCACTGGAGATGCTTTTGGGTATACAGTTGAGCCAAAGTGAAATTTGTAAACATCTCCCCTCAAACAGAGAACAATTAACTTTGAGTAGCAACAAAAATACCTTATCTCGGCCCCAGAACCTTGACTGAGGCTCTGAGTACTGAAGGATGTCAAAGGCAGTCTCTTTGATGATAACCGGATTCAAAATCCTGAAATGTTTTGGCTGTAGTGGAATTTTTTCTGCCACCTGCTTCCAAAAGAAAAGTCGCACCCAAAATGGCTAAGGAAAGCAAGCAAGTAGTCGTTAGTCACCCTTCCAGGGGAGGGGAGAAAGCATTCCCATTCATCAGGCCAAGGCCATGGGCATGACCCCATGTGGCCCTGTGCACTGCCTTCTGCAGCAACCTACTCCTGTAGATTGCAAAATCTATGCAAATTCAGCCCTTCAACTCAAAAAAGTAACTCTAAAATAACCACTTCCGAAAGGCAGCACTGGACAAAGAGAGAAACAGTAGAACAGCTCGTATTTGTTTGAGATAAACATTCCTCAATGGCTCTAAAGCTACCATTTTGTCCAGGGAAGCCCAAGCAAACAGCCCAAGCAAAAAGGCTATTAAGTGCTGTGACTGCCCTCACCTTGCATCCTCTCCCATTTACTCTATTTCCTAGTCCCATGAAGTCTCTTGGCAACTGACTGAAATCATTTCATATATGATTCATCTTCCAATTGGAACTTCTACCCAACAGAAAAATCCAGAAGACCATGATGACTGGTATAGAATCAGCTTTGGAAATACAAATTCTTCATCACATGGAGTTCGTGTGAAAAGTCTAATACATCCCATTAGTTTCACAGACAGCTAGTTTGTGCATATGTCTATAAATGTGCACACAGTCCTCAACAGTTGACCTCTGAAATGTATTTGAATATAATGTGTTGGACTATAAAGTAATGTGATCAATAAAGACAAAAAGAATATGACCAAGTGAGGGCCATCTCCTCCATAGCTGCCTTTCTGGAATGTTATGAATTTATTTCAACAAGGGAACCACTGACTAAAGCACTTTTGGAGAAGCTCTTTAGGAGTATTTCTTAACAATCTTATATTCTTTTCAATATCCTCAAAAAGGCTTATATTCATCTAAGTAAATCTAATATCTGGAACTATGCCAAAAGCTATGCAAGCCCATGTATGGAGAACCAGGTAAGTGAACAACCTCAGTAACAGCAATTTTGGTCACAATCTGGATATTACCATTAAGCAATGATCACCATTTTCATGTGACTCTTAATTAGGTTCTAAAAGCAATTTGCAGCAAATTTGCTGAGGGGTGGCTGGGTGGTGGCTCACGCCTGTAATCCCAGCACTTTGGGAGGCTGAGGCAGGTGGATCTCCTGAGGTCAGGTGTTCAAGATCAGCCTGGTCAACATGGTGAAACCCCGTCTCTACTAAAAATATAAAAATTAGCCAGGCACGGTGACAGGTGCCTGTAATCCCAACTACTCAGGAGGCTGAGGTGGGAGAATCGCTTGAACCTGGGATGTGGAGGTTGCAGTGAGCCAAGATTACACCACTGCACTCCAGCCTGGGCAACAGAGTGAGACTCCCTCTCAAAAAAAGAAAAGAAAAAAGAAAGAATTGCTGAGGTGTTTCTACAAAGAGAGCGATTATCATTTGAAAGACAACATGAAACTATGCACTCCACTGTGTATGTGTAAAAATAAAAGGTTATAATTACAACTGAGTCTCCTTCACTTTTTACTAAGGAACATTTAATAGAAGTTCTAGTGCTTACCAGGGTTTCATTTTTTACCATTGCTTGAAGCCAGTTGAAATCAACACTTTTAAATAAAACAGCAACGAACAAGTCATTGGAATAATATTCAAGGTCAGACAGCGGTGCACCCTCTGGATAAGTCATCCTTATAGTAGTTTTATTTCCAACGTGTTCTGAATAACCCTCAACTGGTGCACTGTTTAACCTATTTAAATAAAAAGGACAAAGACATACTGACAAAACAAGCCATCAACCATCTTTGCGTACCAGACATTATCCATGTCATGTCCTCCACATTTTCTTCATTCTCTTCAGACTAGGAATGAGTATTCCCAGCAGTCTCATGGCCCCTCCCAGCTCCGTCTTTCTAGGAGTTCAAGGAATGCAGCCTTTAGTCCCTGACTGAACATTTGTATCTAATTCTTGAATGTCAAGCAATTTCATCTAGCTCTACTATTTTTACTCAATCTAAGCATATTACATTTGGGACTTTCTCTAGGTACCAGTAAAATTTCCTTAGAAATTTCCCATTGTGCTCAGATATTAGTTCTTGCCAGAATTTCAAAAAAGGAATCAGAAGGGAAAATCTAGTCCACTATGCCCGGCTGACTTTTTGATTTTTTTGTAGAGACAAGTTGTCTCTATGTTGCCCAGGCCGGACTCAACCTCCTGAGTTCAAGTGATCCTCCTGCCTTGGCAAGTGCTGGGATTATAAGCACGAGCCACTGCACCTGGCCAGAAATCAATTTTTAAACAGTGAAACCAAAAAAAGAATCCAGGATGACTGCCTACTGGCTATCATGGTGAGTCTGAACTTCTCTGTGTGCCTTCCATGTCCCAGCCAGCACTGGCTTCCAGGACTCACTGGCCCCAGCCCCTTCTCTAGAAGCCAGGCCCCTCACCGACTCAAGTCTCCTGCTGTGTCCTCTTCTTGCCCCTGCCTGGGTCCTTTGCTGGTTTACTTGAACCTACCCACCTTCCAAACCTCACTTCCTCTGACAATGTTCTGCCACTGGCTGCAGCCTGCAGCATGCTCCTTCAACTTAGGGTCAATATGACCGCTTGGAGCATCCAACCATTTTGTGTTTTTGTTTCAACTTCTCAAATAGTAAGTCTCTTCATGGCAGGGACTGTGAAGAGCTTCCTGTATCCCTCACTGTTCCTGGAGCCGCACTGACCAAGAGCAGTGCACTGAGTTCTAGGAGAGAAAGGTTGGTTTTAAAAGCAATGTACCCCAGTTTGGGCAACTCGGAGAAACCCCATCTATACTAAAAATATAAAAAATTAGCTGCAATGTGTGTGGCCTGGGGTCCTAGCTACTGGAGGGGCTGTGGTGGGGGATCTCCTGAGCATGGGAAGTTGAGGCTGCAGTGAGCCGAGATCACACCACTGTACTCCAGTCTGGATGACAGGAGTGAGACCCTGCCTCAAAAAATAAAATAAAAACAATAAGTAAACAAATAAATAAAAGCAATGTACCTTATCACAACATCGAACTGGTTCAGGGTGTGGCCCAGTTCTAATCCGTGTAATATTCCTCCGCTTCCAATAACCACACAGCGCCGACAGGTCTTGACTTTCAAGTGTTCAGGGAGGTCGTGCTCTGGCAATAGTTCCAAGAGGGTCTGGACTTTACTGGAGAACTTCCGGAACCCAAAAGGAGGATCGTACTTGGACTCAGCTTCACTCGCTTTGGGGGCCTTCCATACAAAAGGGAGCAAGTCCATGCTATACCTGTGCTCAAATAACAGTGCCATTGACATCTTGGCAAACTTGGGTCGACATTCCTTCTGCAAGACTTGCTGGGCGTATTTCTGAGCTCTCTGGAATGAAATCACAGCAATCTGGGTTATAAAAACTCTCCTGCATTTAAAATGTACTCTTCTAGATGACAATTTGTCCTATGATATCTGATGTAGCTCCTGTGTCGATTACTGTCTTTTAACAAAGAACATTTGCATTTTCGAGTTAAGCTAGACTTAGAAACTTGAAGAAACAGCCTGGGAGAATCACATGACAAGGAGATAAACATAGCAGGGTATTCATTTCATTGCACAGGCAAAACAAGGACTCCCACCTCCCACCCCTGGCCTAACACTGTTCAAATACATTTGGGGTAAAAAATGTACTTTAGGGTGTTTAAGACTTCATGTTTCATTAACATTCTGATACATGCTACAACATGGTTAAACTTTGAGGACACTGTGCTAAGCAAAGACAGTCACAAAGAGACAAATACTATATGACCTGACTTATATGAGGCATCTAAAGTAGTCACATTCATAAAAACAGGAAAGAATGGTGGTTACCAGGGTCGAGGAGAGAGGGAAAAGGGAAGCTATTTAATGAGTACAGAGTTTTGGTTTTACAAGATGAAAGTGTTCTAGAAATTTGTTTCACAAGAGTGTAAATATACTTAACACTGCCAAATTGTACATTTAAAAATAATTATGATGGTAAATTTTATGTTTTTTTTTTTTTTTTTTACCATGATTAAAAAAAAGGTTTCATATATCAGGTTCTCATCTAGCAGGATGACGAACAGGCTTATTTATCAGTTGAGGTACAGAGCTTCACACAGCCTAGAATGCAAATTACCTTAAATAGAATCAGGGAACAATGTCCCCTTAACATAGAAATTGCATTGGTTTCAAGGCATTTTCCCAGTCTGCGTTTTCATACACATTTTAATGTTTTGTCTCAGCCAGGAGCTGCTGCTAAATCCCAAGTTCATTAGCCCAGCTGAAAGCAACAAACCTCAGAGGAAAGGCGGGCATGGTGGCTTACACCTATTATCTCAGCACTTTAGGAGGTCAAGGTGAGAGCATCACTTGAGCTCAGGGGTTCGAGGCCAGCCTGGGCAACATAGTGAGATCCCAACTCTGCCAAAAAATTTTTAAAAATAGGCCAGGTGTGGTGGTATGCACCTGTGGCCCCAGCTACATGGGAGTCTGAGGCAGGAGTATCAAGTGATCCTCGACCTGGGATGTTGAGACTTCAGTGAGTCATGATTGTGCCACTGTACTCCAGCCTGGGTGACAGATGGAGACGCTGTCTCAGAAAACAAACAAACCCCAAACACAACCTTGGGGGAATATGGTACATGTGTCCATTCACCCCAGTCTTCCTCTCGGCTCAGCTGGACAAATGCTTCTCAGAATCCCTGTCAGGTAGTTCTCCCTAATCTTTGTGCTTTTTTGTCCTTGTCTCCATATTTAGCAGTCTTGGCCCTGAGTTACCCTTCCTATTCACTGCCTTCTTGCAGGCAGACAGTGTGTGTGTGAGATCCTGTATTTACTGGGATATTTATTATTAGGAATTTAATATATCTTTTCAACTTTGTCAGTATCATTATGAGGATTATTACTGTGGTATAGGTTTAAATGTTTGACCCCACCTATGTTTTTCCTCAAGGCCTTGTTATTTTTATTTTCTAATTTTTGCTTCATACATTTTTTTAAGGAATGCATCTATCCTATTACGGCAGAAACAGTTAACATATTATAGCTTTGCCAAATTGTTGGCACCAATGATATCACTGTCTATATCCCAAGGATCTGGCCCAATTTCTGAAAAAGGAACTGGTATTTTTGGAGCCTCAGAAACGCTGCTACAGACACCATGCATAACTACTACCTCCGTTTACTCTCATGACACTATGGCACCTTAAAAGACAGTCATTAGTATCTTCACTTTGTAAGAGGTCTCAGCTAGCACAGCAATCTGGGCTAAGTCCTTCCCTGGCTCCTAAAACAACAGCTTCTTCTGACAGAAATCAGCACACACAAACACCACCACTGAGAACGAACGTTTAAATACAGATTGGCATCTTCATGAGGAATCCATGGGAAAGCCAAGCAAGGAATCTGCCATGACCCAGAGCCCCCTAGCCAGCAAATGGAGGGGCTCACCTCTGGCCAGGCCTCCAGCAAGCGATGCTCTGGTGCTTAATGCCAAGCTGGGGGAGGCAGGACACACAGAGCAGGTATCCACACTGCACATTCATCTCTAAACATTAGGCCTGAAGGTCATGAATGGCAATTTTTAGAGACCTAAAGGTCTAATTCTCCACTGAGAATCACATCCTAAGTGTATGGTTTTACAATCTCCTACAACAGAAAGGAACATCTGAGAAGTGGCAAGAGGGACCTGGAGAAGCTCACCGATGGCCACAGGACTAGAAAGAGGTGCGTGAGCGAGCTGCACGCTCGTGGCGCTGCCAGGTCTCATCTTCAGAAGCTTCATCTAGAAAGGAGTAAAATTTCATTCCACTTCCATTCTGACCTAGAGGTCAATTTCAGGCTTCCAACTTAATTTTCTATACTGTGGGCAGGGCACATGTCTCATAGTCTCCTTCTTACTGTGACCCCTCCTTGCGCCTGACAGCGGACGAGGTAAGTAAATCCTGACCGAGTGTTTTACATGCCGCTGGCAACAGCTAAAGCCACAGCAATTCCTCATCCTCTTTTGTTTCAGCTCGTTTAACAACTCTCCACTGCCTGCCTGGAGACAGGGCTTTCTTTGTAGAGAGCTCGCACCGAACTCCATCTCATAGCCACTCAGAACACAAGGACCACACAGGCCATGTCCTCCACTCTGGATGGTTTCTGTTCTTGCTTCAATAGCACACAACCAGATATCATTGTCTTGGGGACTTCTTAGAGCTTGTCCCACATCTTTAAATGAGTTGAACCGACACTTGTCTCAGCTGCTCTCCTCCCTCTCCACTGCTTGCCTGTGGCTTACAGCTCAGAAGAAAATTCCTCAAGGGGAGCGCCCCACCTTCAGGAGCTGCGAGGAAGAGCAGGCAGTGTGACTAGGCCGTCTTCCCCTGCAGGTGACGCCAGAGCTCCCAGGAAGGCCTCAGGCAGCTGGGGCCCGGATGGCATTCATCCAGATGAGGCTCCCTGGGCAGCCAGGAGCTGACGACTTTCTTGTAAAATACATGAACTCCCACTCGTTTCAAATCCAGGGACAAAAACAAAGGTTTCCGTTCTTAACATCTTCTGGGCTGAGCCTGCAGGTTGTCCACGATTAAGACTAAGTAGATAATCTGGTAGTGCCAATTGTTAATGCTGTGGCAATGTGTCAGGAAAAACATCATGTGAAATTCACAGAAGGGTATTAAAAACAGAGCAATTTTCCTCAGCAAAATCCCCACTTTCATTTCCACTCTGAAATTTTGAGGAAAACCCTTAGAAATACAAGCAGCATAATTCATAGTAAAAGGCAATGTTCTATTGCACTTATTATTATTATTATTATTTAATCCAGAACAGGGTAGAACATTCAGATTGAAAGAAAACTCATGTCTGGAGTTAAGGAGATGTGGGATCACATGATCTGGAGGCATCAGTTCCCTGTAGAGCTTTCATTTCCCACACCTGTAAACTCCAGTGCTGGCTCTTCCTCCCAGGTTGCTCTGATGCCCAAAGCATTTTGCCCAGTGCCTGGCATGTGTGGAGACTTGTATGATATCACACAAGGATGGTAACTGAGGGTCAAGTTATTGACATATTTTACTCACATTTAAGTTATAACTTTTACCCAGTTAAAAGCAGAAAAAAAATTAAATAACCAAGTCACAGAAAGAACACTACAGTATAAACTCAACCAGGTGGTGGCAGCCTGGGGCTGAGGGATGAGGGTGGGGACTGACTGCAGAGGGGCTCCAGGGAACTGGCTTGGGCCATGGGAATGTGCTAAAGCGAGACTGTGGTAACAGAGGTGTGGCTGCATACATTTATTAA